TTAATTTTGCTTCTGGTATGCATTTTCTTAAGAAGCTGTAAAGAATTCCAAGTAGTTTACTTAAAATTCCATTTGCGTGCACTAATGTAAATTTATTAGCCATTAGAGCATTGTTACCATCATTAGAATCTTCACTCAAATATTTAAGAGCTAACATTTCAAAATGGGTTACTTTTTTCTTTTTTTTCCTTTTTTTTAAATTAATTTATTTATTATGTGTACACATTCTGCTTCCCACACACCAGAAGAGGGTGCCAGATCTCATTACAGATGGTTGTGAGCCATCATGTGGTTGCTGGGAATTGAACTCAGGACCTCTGGAAGAGCAGTCAGTGCTCTTAACCTCTGAGCCATCTCTCCAGCCCTAGGTTACTTTTTGTTTGCTTTATTTTGTTTCTGATAGTAGAAAGGAATAGAACCCAGGGTCTCTTGTCTGCTAAACACGCATCCCACCACTGAGCTACATCCCTAGTTCTCAAAACAGATATTTTAAATTAATACCTTTCTGGAACTGGTGGATTGTGTAATGTTGTGCTCTTTTGACTTTTTGGAGAACTTGCCACCGAACTCCCAAATAAATCACATATCCAGTCTAAGCTTGGCTTGTTTCTTGTCAGCTTTTTTGGTTGTTTGTTTTTTTGGTTTTTGTTTTTTTGTTTTTTTCAAGACAAGGTTTCTCTGTAGCTTTGGTGCCTATCCTGGAACTCTCTCTTATAGACCAGGCTACCCTCAAACTCGCAGAGATCTGCCTGCCTCTGCCTCCCAAGTGCTGGGATTAAAGGCGTGCTTTACCACTGCCCGGCATCTTTCTCTATTTCTGCATACCTTTCTTTGCTTCTTTTTCCATGGCTGGCCGCTGATGTCCTCCTCTCCTTCTCTTGTTCGTCATCCTTCTCTTCTCCCAGAGTTCGCCTTCTATTTATACTCTCTGCCTGCTAGCCATGCCTATCCTTGCTCTTGACCGTTAGGACCATCGGGTGTTTTAGACAGGCACAGTAACACAGCTTCACAGAGTTAAACAAATGCAGTGTAAACAAAAGTCACACACCTGAAAATAATATTCTCCAACAGTAATGTGCAGAGTTACCTAGTATAGAAACAAGTCCATTAGCAGATGTCAATCATTGTAAACATCAAAGCCAGCATCTCAAGTTAACTGGGTTTCATTAATCAAATGGGATAGTTTTGTTAAACGGTGTTAACATTAAGTAGTGAAAAAAGTAGAAGCTCCAAATTACTAACAGTACTTGTTATTGGGTCTGTAGCCTTAATGACTTTCTGTATTTTTTAGGCCAAAACCCATGTTCTTGACATTGAACAACGACTACAAGGTGTAATCAAGACCCAAAATAGAGTAACAGGGTTGCCGTTATCTATTGAAGGACAGGTGCATTACCTCATACAAGAAGCTACTGATGAAAACTTGCTATGTCAGATGTACCTTGGTTGGACCCCATATATGTAAAATAAAATTATTTCAAAAACTATATTAATAATCTAAAATTCCTGTGTTATTAATCAGAAGTATGTCTTTAAGTCTAAATTACAACACACATTTACTTATATTCTTAGAGAAACTAGTATTTCTCTGTGATTGTATTAACAATTATGGATTCAATTCTGGTTCAACACTGCTTTCTTAGTAGATACTTGTATATTTCACCTAGAGAGAACATTGTATTCTCATGATCAAAAAACAATGTAATTGGAAGGAACCAGCCAGCCTAATTTCATTTTGTAGTTTTATAAATTTCCTTTTCAAAGTGTTAGCATAAGGTTTCATTTGAACAGCAACAAGTTATATTGGCTATATGTGGGCAGGAACTAGACTGGACCGGTCCACAGAGCTACCTCTTCTGCCCTGTAGGGAATGATAGCACATCATTAATTCACTTCATAAAGCTTTTAGTATACAGGAAAATGTCACCAAGAGAGAGACTCAGGAAACATGAATGTGAAAAATAAATCAGCTATTTAATTATTTTGGTGAAACTGAAGATTGAACTATGCTAGGTATATGTTCTACCATTGAGCCACAGCTCAGCCCTAACATTCTGTAATTTTAAAGACACTACCACATGGTTGGTATGTGAAAATACACAGTACAGTAGTGATGGAAAACACAATACTTAAAATTCTCTTAAGATTTTAAAATCTAAATTTTTTAATGTGTTTGTTTTCTGTACAGTTTCTTATAGATTAAAATGAAAAGAACTGCAAAATAATACATTTATTACAGATGAATGGAAAACTGCTATATAGAACTCTGCCCTTTTTCTCCTATGAGTAAATGTATAATGAAGTAAAACACAAATAAGCCAGAAGCCATGAATGTCGAAACTGGAACGTACCATTTACTACTCACACCTTGATGCTAACAGTTAAGGTCAGGGTAATAAGGCAATCTTGTTTTCAGTAACAAGATTGGGGTTATATGGGTTGGGGGTGCATGTGTGTCTATTTTAATTTGATTTTGGTGGTTTGTTCATACAGACATGTTTAAACTAAATAGTTAATTTGCACTGATGTATATATATTTGTTACATACAGTACTGGATTACATAAGGATCATTTCATACAAATATATAATATACTTTGAAAACTTCCTCCCATACTTCCTGCTGTTCTCTGCCTCAGTCTCTTTTGTTCCTTTTGACAGTGTTGTTTCTGCTTTCATGTCCCATATACGTACATGATTTGAAGTAGCTATATAAAATTTAGGAACCACAAATGAAAGAAAATGTAATCTCTCTGAGACTGACTTAATTCACTTAATATAATGATCTACACTTGCATCCATTTTCTTGCAAATGATATATAACTTCATTTTTCTTTACTGAAAAAATATATTTTCTGTATTGATTCCTATATTTTTAAGGATCATTTTCTAAATGACAATCTAATCTCTTAGAAGGTCAGTCAATGTTTAGTGCTTTATCATCTAAATAATTCAACCTGATTTTCATTTCCCAAAGCAAAATCATATATTTTTACAAATGTAACCTGTGTGAAGGTCATGAGATTTGGAAACATCTTAAAAATAAAACAAGCTTGGGGTGGTGGTGCACAGCTTTGATCCCAGTACTTTGGATTTAGAGGCAAGTTGATCTCCTTGCGTTTGAGATTAACCTGATCTACATAGTGAGTACCAGGACAGCCAGGGCTACATAGGATCAATAAAGAATAAAACAATTTTGTTGTGTGAGTTTGTAGACATTAAGAAGAGAAAGTGGCCAGGCCGTGGTGGCACAAGTCTTTAATCCCAACACTGTCTCAAAAAAACAAAAGAAAAAGAAAGAAAAGGAAAAAAGAGAAGAGAAAGTGCACAAGAGTGAGCCTTTTCTATATTCTCTAAACAGTCCTTGCATGGAGAGTGAAGTCACATACACAGAAGGTTCTCTTGACTAAAGATGGATGCTGTCCATATCCTAATCATGGAAGACAGGCAGTACCAAAGGAAAGACTTGAGTAACTTCCAAAGTACTTACCATAATGAAAGTCACATAATGATAGAGACAGATACAGAGATGTTCATGGTGGCTTTCATCATGTTTGATTGCGACAGATTGTCATGTAGGATAGAGTCTGGAACTTGTGTAAGTGAAGAAGACCCTGAACTCCTGATCTGCCTCCATCCTTCAAGTGCTGAGATAAAGACTTATATGCTACACCATGCTTTTTGAGTTTTTGGTTTGCGATAGGCTTTCATGTTGTCTAAGATCGCCTTGAACTTGCTATGTACCTGAGGATGGCCTTTAACCTCTGATCCTTGTATGCCTCCTAAGTGCTGGAATTTATAGGCGTGCTGGGCCACAGCAGCCTCTTTGTTTTTGTTTTGTTGTTGTGGGTTTCTCTGTTTTGAAACAGGGTACCAACAATTGAGGATAAGCGGAGTAACCCAGTCTTGAAACGCTGGGAAACTGCTCTTAAAAGAAGCTCTAGTGCAGATTTACATTACTAAGAAAATAACTCCCCTGGGAGCTGGAGAGATGATGGCTCAGAGGTTAAGGACGCTGACCGTTCTTCCAAAGGTCCTGAGTTCAATTCCCAGCAACCACATGGTGGCTCACAACCATCTACAATGAAATGTGGTACCCACCCTCTTCTGGCATGCAGTCATACATGGAGGCATCACACTGTATTGTATACATAATAAATAAAATTTAAAAAGAAAGAAAATAACTCCCCTCACAAACTAACCGAAACTTTTCCAGTCCATGTTGAAAAATAGTTTAGCCATCCCATAAGGGCAAGACGCAATACAAAATCCATTGTCCAACACCCTCTCTTACTCAGGGTTTCTATTGCTGTAATAAACATGGCCAAATGCAACTTGGGAAGGAAAGGGTTTATTTGGCTTACACTTCCTCATCACAGTCCAACATGGATTCCGTGCGTCAGGAATCGAAACCACGAAGGAACGCTGTTTTCTGGCGTTTTCACTCACTCAGCTTTCTCATACCGGAGGACCAAGGGTGGCATCAGTCCATAATGACCTGGGTCCTCCACATCGATCATTAATCAAAATATTCCCAGCCGGGCAATGGTGGCGCACGCCTTTAATCCCAGCACTCGGGAGGCAGAGGCAGGCGGATCTCTGTGAGTTCTAGGCCAGCCTGGTCTACAAGAACTAGTTCCAGGACAGGCTCCAAAGCTACAGAGAAACCCTGTCTCGAAAAACTAAAAAAAAAAAAAAAAAAAAAAAAAAAAAAAAAAAAAAAAATTCCCAAAGGCCAATCTGGAGACAGCATTTTTCTCAGTTGAGGTTCCTCTTCCCAATGACTCTCCCAAGTGTCAAGTTGACATAAAATTAACCAGTACGTTCTCCCAACTGTCTGCAAGTCCACACCTCTGCCAATCTGTATCTTCAAATTGAGCTTACCACAGCAGTCGTACGTCCTGTGCCGCCACTAACGAGCACGGAAAGGCGGCGAGGTAGACAAGACGCCCCGCCCACCGACACCGTCCTGCCCCTCTAGGCCCGCAGCTTGCTCTATGGTCTGGCGGACCTTGTGTTGTCATCCTCCGAGCGACGGCCGGAGGCGGCGGCGTAGGCCCGGGCGGGGCGTTTGGTTTCGTTTCTGCACCTACTGGAATTAGTGTCGACGGTCAAAATGGGAGTCCCCAAGTTTTACCGATGGATCTCGGAGCGGTATCCCTGCCTCAGCGAAGTGGTGAAGGAGCATCAGGTGGGTGAGCACAGGCCGCGGTGCAAGAGGCGGGCCCGCGGGCCTGTGCGCTGTGTGGGACCCGGGCCAACCAGCTCCCTCCGGTGCCGGTCAGCAGCCGGACAGGAGGAGGAGAGGGAGGACCAAGGGTTGGCGGTCTCCGAGTGAGCCGCGTCGGGTAGAGGCAGGTACGATCCGTGCTTGCGGCAGGTCTGAGCTCCCCCGGGAGAGCCTTCCGCGACTTCCGAAGGAGCCCTTAGTGAGGAGGCTTTTAGGAGCCCCCTGTCCTCCTGGGAGTCGCAATTGGCTTCACCTCAGGCTGCGATGCTGAGTGGGGTGCTTTCCCGGGTCTCCCATGCAAAGCAACAGACCTGTGTGCAAACAATAACAAACGTCCCTGCGGTGGAATTGCCTAGTACTCCAGCTGTGAAGAGCTGCATTTAACCCCATAGCCTGGCCCGATAGATGTGATACCTTTGATACTTCTGTTAGCTCCCAAACAGTACCCATCCCTACCCCTTTTGTCTAGAGGAACAAAACGTTTAGACGGAGCGCAGGGATGGGGGGGGCCCCCCGCGGGGGATGGTGCTTAGCGGCTTTGATGTGGCAAAACCCGAAACATTATTACCAATAATTGGTGTATAATAACCCCACAGCAGCATTTGTGTGAGCTCTAAAAGTGTGTATTTGTATATCTCTATATTGGAATATGTTCACATATTTAAATAACAGAGGAGATAAACCAAATGTTCTAATAGGTAAGCTAGACATTGAATGATAATTTAGTATGTCACACTGAATGACTTTGATGACTTTGATTTACAAAAAAACCCTCGTTTTTGAAATTTGCATAGCTAATTGAATTACTTGTGATAAGTATAACTATTAGTACTAAGAGTTGTCAATTATATGGGATTTTTGTTTTGTTTAAGGTACAGCATTTTTTAAAAATCATAACACTTGTAAGGATAACGATAGAGTTCAGTCTCTGGAAAGAATTCTTTTGATGTTAAGGTCGAATAAAATTTGGCATATGGAAAACAAGCTTATAAAAATTTCCAAAGTGCTAACTTGTCCTTCATTTATTTGAGACGTAGGTTAAGTTAGATTTAGATATTTATTGCCAGGGAGAAGAGTGAAAAAGGACACAATTAAATTGTTTTTCTTTTTCTGGAACTTTGATCAATAAATATATGATAGTATCTAAAATGTTCAATATATTTTTATTCTGTACTCTTTGGCCAGTCATTTATTTGGTTTAAATATCATGCAGTCAGGCAGTGGTGGTGCATGCCTTTAATCCCAGCACTCGGGAGGCAGAGGATCTCTGTGAGTTCTCTACAAGAGCTAGTTCCAGGACAGGCTCCAAAGCTACAGAGAAACCCTGTCTCGGGGGAAAAAAAAATTCAGTCTCTATCCTGAGGAATTTCATTGCAAAAACAATACAGTCACGAAAAGCAGCACTATGACAGGAACAGCCAGACGGATTTCCTGAGAGTTTCATATTAGATTGAAATTAAAATTAAGGATTGCTTTAAAATTACAGCAGGGCCTGGTGTCCTACATCTGTAATCCCAGTGCTTAGGAGGCAAAGTCTTGTGGATTTCTGAGTTTAAGGCCAGCCAGAGGCACACAGTGAGATCCTAACTCAAAATAGATAGATAGATAGATAGATAGATAGATAGATAGATAGATAGATAGATAGATAGATAGATAGAGAGGGCTGAGAGCTCTGGTTAAGAAACCCTGTCTCGAAAAACCAAAAAAAAAAAAAAAATTGTAAAAGAGGACTTGGATTTGATTCTAGCATCCACAACTGTTTGTAACTGCACTTCCAGAGCATGGAACACAGATATACATGCAGGCAAAGCACCCATACACATAAAATAAATAAATAGAGACTTGGTGTATCAAAGTAATACCTTCCACAAATACTTTATTAAAAGGAGGGACTGAAGAAGAAGGACCGAAGTTCTGATGCCCAGCACCCACATAAAAACTGGGAGTGGCATAGGGTACCTGTAACACCGGCTCTGGAGACTCCATTAAACAATAATAACAAGACATGTGATACAGTAGCCCATGTTCCTGGTTCAAAATATTGCTAGATAATAGAGAACAGGGACAGGTGGATCCCAAGGGCTCTCTAGCCAGCTAGTCCAGCTAAACTAGTGGACTTCACGGTCACTGAGAGATCTGTCTCAAAAAATAAAGTGAAGAAGCAGTTAAGGAAAACCCCAGAGTTGACCTCTGACCTCTGTGTGGGTGGCAGGATGAGCAGGAGCAGACCTGAGGGACAGGATGGAAGGAATAGATTTGGGAAGTGGGGAGAGGATTTGGTATCAGCACAGTCTTTTAATCCTCACATGAAAATACAAAGAGAAACTAGATTACAAAGTTTAAAGTCTATAAAACAATTACAAGTCATGTGATACAGTATTCACATGTTACTGGTTCTAAATATTGCTAGATGACAGCAAATGATCAATAGACTCTAGACAGGGTTATAAGAGAAAGAGGAAGAAATAGCTGATGAACTTGTGAGTTAGTTTCAAAAAAGACTGTGCTAGCCAATTCGATAACAGTATGTAAAACGGGTGGAGAGGGGTGTTCTTTTTTTTTTTTTTTTTTTTTTTTTGGTTTTTCAAGACAGAGTTTCTTTGTAGCTTTGGAGTCTGTCCTGAAACTAGCTCTTATAGACCAGGCTATACCACCACCCAGCGGGGGCGGGGGTGGTATTCTTCTTAAGACTGACTAGCTGGATAGCCAACCTTTAATCCGAGCACTTGGAAGACAGGCAGGCAGATCTCTGTGACCTATGCCTGGCCAACCTGGTCTACAAGCGAATTCCAGGGAGCCAGGGCTGTTACACAGAGAAACCCTGTCTGGTGGGGGGTAATGAAGTGTCATCAGAAGGAAAAGCAATACTCCTATACATGCAAAGCTGACCTTCCAAGTGAGCATCATGGGGCACAGTATACCCTAAGGAGAAATGGCTAAGAGTAAAATGTTGTCACAGAATAAAGTAAATGTTGCCATGGAAGGAACAGTGGAAATAGATGATGGTCAATAAAAGTTAGGAAGAATTAGAGTCAAGGAATCTTGCAAAACAAGCTACCATGGTTTTTTGTTTGTTTGCTTGTTTGCTTCTGTCCGTGTCTCCCAGATGTTAGGATTTCCAGGATTCATAATTTAGGATTCATGGTAGGATTCATCTTTTCCTCATATAGATTTGAAAGAATGCATTTTTCACATAGCCATTTTAGTGTTTGTTTATGAGTGGGGCTTTCCTTGCCCGAGATCAACACACACCACACTCTTCCACCTTGGAGCAGCTCAGGTTGATCTTGAATTATTGGGCTCAAGCAATCCTCCTGTTTGCATGTTCTGAGTAGTTAAGAAAACAAGATACATGTACCACTGCCTTTGGAGATTCTGTTAGTCTTTTGTTTTCTGATGGCTGTGCAAGTACCCTGTCCCCTCCTTTCAGTGTTAGAAATGTTTCTTCTGTGTGGAAATGTCACGTGCACTTGCACTGTTTCAGTGCCCCTTTCCATCTGTTAGCTGGAGCCCTTTAGGGCCGATTTCCCTTCCTTACTCTGCCTTTAATACTGTTCCTTAGCGTTGTGACACATTTAGTCTCCTAAAGAAGTGGAATCATTCTGTATAAATTATTTCCCTCTCAAGAGCTTACAATGAGGTCGATTGGTATTTTCAGATTCTTGAAACAAATAATAAGTCTTGAATGCTCTCTTAAACTAATGTAACTAAGCTGGGCGGTGGTGGCGCACGCCTTTAATCCCAGCACTCGGAGGCAGAGGGGGGAGGGGTCTCTGGGAGTTCAAGGCCAGCCTGATCTACAGAGCTAGTTCCAGGACTGACACCAAAGCTACAGAGAAACCCTGTCTCGAAAAATTAAAAAAAAAAAAAAAAAAAAAAAACAGTGAACCAAATACAAAAGTCATTAAATCATTTGTTAAACCTTTAATACTCTTTTATAAAACCTTTTGATATAAATTGGCATTATTTTCCCATTTATAGACGAAATTGAGACTTTGAGATACCAAGTAACAAACAGGGAGGAAACTAATATTTTGAGTGCCATATTAACTAAGTGCTTTCTCTGTTGTTTTCCTGAGACTCTTACTTTGAATAAATGATTATTTCCTCATAGTAAGTTAGGTCAAGCCATACATTATATAAGTACATAATTTCCTTTTGCATTACTAGTTGCTCCTGTTTACTTTCCTTTGCTTACTTTATTCAACAATGATTGTTTATTCGCTTTTTTTTTAAGATTTATTTTTTATTTTGTATATATATTTATGTTATGTGTGTCTGCATGTTTGTGCACATACATGTAGTACCGGAGGAGGCCAAAAGAAGGCATTGGATTCCCCTAGGACTGGAGACATGGTTGGTTGTGCACAGCCTGATGAAAGAAAGTGCCAGGATCCAAACTTGGGTTCCCTGGGAGAGGCCCCCTCAAGTTTCTCTAAGCAGAAGACATTACATCATCCTGTTTGGTTTTTTGTTTTATTTTTGTTTTGAACCATTGAAGAATCACGTTTGCCGGGCTTTAAAATAGTTATGATAATTAACAATCTGGAGTTTTGTTTTTTTATTTGTTTGTTTGCTTTTTAGATTCCAGAATTTGATAATTTGTACCTGGATATGAATGGAATTATTCATCAGTGTTCCCATCCAAATGATGATGATGTTCACTTCAGAATTTCAGATGACAAAATCTTTACTGACATTTTTCACTACTTGGAGGTGTTATTTCGAATTATTAAACCTAGAAAAGTGTTCTTTATGGCTGTTGATGGTGTGGCTCCTCGAGCAAAAATGAACCAGCAACGTGGAAGGCGTTTTAGGTAAATCATTTAAAACAGGTGACATAATACAGTGCATCTTCCATTCATATTTGTTTTCTATTTAAATCTTCAAAGTAAGTGGTGTACTCTATACTTAGCATATTTGGCTAGTCAAGTCATAAACTAGTAATTCTCACGAATTACGTCTCAAAGCTTGTGTTGGGCTTCATGTAAAGTTCATTCTGCTCTCAGGTCCAGGTTGTCAAATTTTGCTTTGATAGTTCGGAGGTAGTTTAGGGAGCCACTAGCCTAAAAACTCAGATTAGGATGCTGATGGTTCAGGCCTTTATCCCAATATTTATGAGCAAAGCCAGCCTGGTCTCCTTAGAGTTCAGCCACCAGAAGGTGTCAGTGTATTTTAGCTCTGTCTTCTAGATCTACATTAGACAAAATGGATACCCTACTCTTTGCTTCTCGGTTCCTGAATGTTACTACGTGTTGGTATCGATCTTGTCACTCTTCCATCATTGCTGAACCCTCACCCCCAACAGCCCTAGTGACTCAGCTGACATGCCGGTATCATCAGACTTCCTCCCACCTTTATCTAACTAACAAAAATCAACTCATTTCTAGAAACTTAACTTCAGGGAGGCCTTCCAGCTCTATTTTTAACTTCATAACCTTTTCAGTATCAGAAGTACAGACTCTGGCTGGGGATTAAGGACCAATCAAGCCATTGGAACTACCACAACCGTATATTAAATGCTAGGCTGTCACCAGGAGTCCCATATTTCCTAGAAAGTTCCCCATCAGCTTCATACTTTAATGCTTGCTGTCTTCGCTCTGAGTCTGGTTTTTATCCATACTGTACCACTGAAATTTCCTTACAAGATCACAGGCTTATGTCCTAATCCAAAGACTGAGTCTCATTGCTTCCTCCACCCACAGTGAGCAACAGTGCTGATCCTTCTTTCTTTCTGTAATTTCTTTCCTTGACCTTCATGTAGCTTTGCTCTGTTTGTGTACTGTTGGACTTTTGTCATCTTCCCTTTCTCTGCTTCTTTTTTTCTTAAATTATCACTGAAGTTAATTTCCTTGACTCTCAGCGCCGAGTAATCACATCTAATGACTTTGGTTACTATGTCTCTACTAATGACTCCCAATTTTATCTTTATGGTATTTTTCACACCCCCAAGTTCCTTTTCTATTGTAACACTTGTCTCCTTTTGGGTAGCCTAGATACCAGAAGGCTTCCCATTTTCAGAACTGAATTCATCCTCCACAAAGCAACTCTTTTTCTCTTTCCTTCTACCATACTGTGTGATTAGCTGCACCACCCAAAGCCCAAGAGTCATTTGAACTCCTGTGTCTTTATTCCTGACATCTACGATTGAGTTATACTTCTTTTTGTCATCTTTTTAGAATCTAGTATCTCAGCTTAGTGTGTCATTATCTTTACTTAGATTTTTTTAATAGTTGTTTCTATATTGCAACTAGATTAAACATGGCTATTCAGTATTCCCTCCTCTGTAGAGTATAATCTTTAAACCCTGGCATTATTTTTGTTATATTTTATCTACTTATATCATTGATTATTAGGAAAATTATTAAAATCATTAATTGGTATAATTAGATATAGCAACAATTGACACTTAAAGCCTTTGACCTTGTTTCTGGAATAAATTTGCTATATATGTGTTAGAATTACTCAAGTATTGTAGTGATTTGTGTGCTTTTTACTATTTTAATGTCCAACTTCTGTAGTCTTCCTATTTAAAAAAAAGCCTCAATTTTGTAAATAAAAGAAAGAATTCCTAGGCTTATTCATTTCTATTGTAATCCTTAAAATTGTATAGTTTTGAACCTTAAGGCTGACAAATTAGTGTTTTGTGTAAAAATCTTTTAAACAATAGTTGTGTGATACATTTATTTTCTACAAAATGTAAGATATTTTTTCTCTTTGACTTTTAAGGTCAGCCAAGGAGGCAGAAGACAAAATTAAAAAAGCAATTGAAAAGGGAGAAACGCTTCCTACAGAAGCCAGATTTGACTCTAACTGTATCACGCCAGGTAAGCTGAAAGATAGTCTAAAGACTTAATATAGAAATTGAACATTTTTTTAATGTGTTTTTGTTTTTAGACTCTTTGTTCTTAGGCTTTCGTTAGCCATATTTTCACATTTGTCTACTCATCATGTTGGTTGTGAAGGTTCCTGTAAAAAGATCCACTGTAGCGTTTTCAGGTGTTGATAAGCAGATACGGAGAGGACATTGCCAGCTCTCTAGACTTCCTGACCTGACCTAGAAGGAACTTACGGGGACTTTCAGTTTATTCTGGTCAGTTACTGGTATCAAATAGACAAGTTTCTATATCTACCCATTGGCTTCAGGATAAGAAACCCATTCTTTTAATCCAGAGAGTTTATTTCTCTGCCTCCCAAAGGAATCTAGGATTTTTATGACTTTAAGAAAATAGGGCCAGTGAAGTAGCTCAGCAGATAAAGGCAGTTGCTGTCCATCCTGATGACCTGAGTTCAATTCCCAGGACCTGAATGCTGAAAGAGAGAACCAACTCCTGCAAATTATCTTCTGACATAGACACACACAAATAAAATAAAGGCATAAATATAAAAATTATTAGTAATTTGTTTAACTTTATATACATCACTCTACTTGATACGCTTGAGAGAGTTGACTGGCATCTTTATAGTCCTTTATTTTGAACAGAAATTTTAAATGGAACTTTTTAAATTCCATACAAACAAGTGATTTGTTGTTATTGTTGTTGTGGTTGTTTTACATACACATTGCTCAATTTAATAAGCAGTTTCTCTTGGATATAGTTTAAGATAGTATTGCCTTTGACTGTTGGTCATCTTGAGTTTTTTTATGGTATAATCATATATGCTCACACTTTCCATATTAAAATAATTTTTAATGTTAAGAATAGGAGGTATTGGGGCTACAGAGGTGGCTCAGTGGTTAAAAGTACTGATAGTTCTTGCAGAGGACCTGGGTTCAATTCCCAGCATCCATATGATAGCTTACAACTGTCTGTAACTCCAGTATTAGAAGATCAGATGCTCTCTTTTGGCTTCCAAGGCACTGCACGCACGTGGCTCATACACATATGTCTGTGTGTGTGTAATAACTGAGAGATAAGTCAGTCAGTAGAGTTCTTAATCACACAAATAAAAGGCCCTGAGTTCCCTCCCCAGCACCCACATAAGAAGCTGGGTATGGTGGAGCACACTTGTAATCTTGTTGGGGAGGTGAGTTGGAGGGGTTCCTGGGGCTCACTGGTCAACATGTTTTGCCTAATTATTGAGTCCCAGGTTTCAATGAGAATCTGTGTCTCAAAAGACAAGGTGGCTGGGCATGGTGGCACACAGCTTTAATTCCAGTACTTGGGAAGCAGAGGTAGTAGAATCTCTGTGACTTTGAGGCCATCCTGATCTACATAGCAGATTCTAGGGCAGCCATACATAAAGATCCTGATCAAAAAATAAAAAATCGGGGTGGATGGTATATAAAGAAGAACCAGCCAATCACAGGTTGTCCTTTGCCCTCCATATAAACCCTTGCTTCTACGAACCTGATTATACACATCTAGTTGTTGGAGTGGGATATAGTTTATTTGGTAGAGCCCACTCTTTGCTCACATGAGATCCTGGGTTCATTCCCCAACACAACATAAATCAGGTGTGGTTGTGCGTTCCTGTAATTCCAGGACCTGTGAAATAAAGGCAGAAGATCAGAAGTTTGGGGATATCCATAGCTTATAGTGAGTTTAAGACTAACCTGGACTATAGACACTATTTTAAAAAAGAAAACAATACAAGTTATTAATATATAAATGAACAATAAAAGTTATTGTTGGCAGTCTAATTAAAGTTACATGCCATATACATATATACATACATACATACACTTCAGGATCTAGAAGATGATTCAGTGGCTAAAAGCAAAGCACTTTCCGCACAAGCTGACCTGTGCTCAAAGCCCAGAACCCGTGGACAGAGGGTAGAGTGAACTACCAATACCGCCCCCTATCATCCCCATGTGTGCCATGGCATGCGTATGCTCACCCTCACAATACACACCATACACAGACATAATATAATAAATAAAATTAATAATATGCTTAGGAATCCAGCAAAAATGTAGAAAGTTGGAGTTAGAGCTCATACTGCTCTTAGGTAAATACTTAAAGCACAGTCTGTAGGTGATGGAAAACTCATGCCTGCTTTTGTGACACTGACTCCGTTTGAGATTGCTGGTGACTTTTGAAGCATTGGAGATACTTGCTGGGGACACGTTCAGTTGCTTGCTTGCAGGATAAATAAGAGAGCTTTGGGCTTGTTTTGAAGATACTGAGTATATGTTGTTACTGGGAACTTAACTGTTTTTGCTATTTTCATCTTTCTCAGATTAACCTTTTTAAAACTTTTTGTTTATAGGGACTGAATTCATGGCCAGGTTGCATGAGCATCTGAAGTATTTTGTAAATATGAAAATTTCCACTGACAAATCATGGCAAGGTGTTACCATCTACTTCTCAGGCCATGAGGTTAGCATCTTTTTTCATCTAAAAAATGTCTTAAAGTTTAAATTTTTTTTAAAAGTTTGAAGCATAGTATATCACCACCTTGTTTTTAAACATTGTTTTTAGACTCCTGGAGAAGGAGAGCATAAAATCATGGAATTTATCAGATCCGAGAAAGCAAAGCCAGATCATGATCCAAACACCAGACACTGTCTTTATGGCTTAGATGCTGACTTGGTAGGTATAACACTCACCTGTTGTTACAAGCTGCTGTCGTAGAACTAAATGCTAAGAGATGTAGTTTTTAATGCAGGAAGTTCACTGGCTGTAGCACCAAATACAGAAGGCAATGATAGCTACATTTGCCATTATCTAAGTTCTATAGAATTGGGGAGATAAGCTTTTTTTGTTTGTCTTAGACTATAAATAACTGATGTTGGTATAGTCTACAAATCTGAGCAACCCTAGTTCTGTGAATATGGTGCTGAAAAGGAAATGCTGAAGCCAAGGAAAGATGACTATTTTACCTAGGGCCATGAAAACGTCCTAATTCACAGCTCCATGCCTCAAATACCTTTTATGGGTATTTTGCCTACATGTATGTATGTGTATCATGTATGTGTATGTATTTATATCATCTGGTGCCTGAGGAGGGCATTGGATCCCCTGGAACTGGAGTTAAGGATAGTCATGAGTCTAGGTACCTGGAACTAAACTTGAATCCTCTGCAAGAGCAGTAAGCCCCAGATCCCATTACAGATGGTTGTGAACCACCTTGCAGTTGCTGGGATTGAACTCAGGACCAGTGCTTTTAACCTCAAAACAGTTGAGCCATCTCAAACAGTATCCCTGGTACATAAACTGGCTTTTTAGAACCCATCCCTTATGGAGGGAGACCTTGTTTAGCCTAGATACAGGGAGGAGGGCCTTGGTCCTGCCTCAAGTGATGTGACTGACTTTGTTGACTCCCCAAGGGAGACCTCACCCTCTCTGAGGAGTGAGTGGGGGTGGGGTGGGGTGGGGTGGGAGAAAGGGAAAGGTGGGGAAAGTGGGAGGAGGGGACGGAGAGGGAACTGGGATTGGTATATAAAATTAAAAAAAAAATTGTTTAGAAAAAAAAGAGCAGCAAGCTACTATAATGAGCTCCCTTGTACCCTTAAATTACCTTAAGTTTTTTGTTTGGTTGAGTTGGTTTGGTTTCGTTTGGTTTTTTAAGACAGGGTTTTTTGTATGCAACCCTGGCTGTCCTGGAACTCAATCTGTATACAAGGCTGGCTTCGAACTCAGAGGTCTGCCTGCCACTGCCTCCCAAGTGCTGGGAATAAGGCAAATTTCTTTAAGTATTAATTTACTTAAATTTAATGTAGTCATTTGCCTCTTTTCAATCAGGATGGGTTATTGAAGCAAATTCCATACACTGTTTTTACTTAATAAATACTTATTTTTGAATTTTTTTTTTGTGAACAAGTTTTTAAGGTACTTAACCACAATGCCATTATTACACATATAATAATAATTGCTTAAGATAAATAACCACATCTCCTGATTGGTTCATAAATGTTTCATTTTGTTTTGTTGTTTGAATAAGAATTTAAAGAAGCAATATGTATTACCATTGATTCACATGTTAACTAGACTTTTGAGGTCATTGAGGGAGTACAACATAGGAGAAAATTAAAGTGCCCTTTTCCATTTGGGAATGGATTTTCATATTAATGTTACCCTGACCTCTAAGTATCTTCTGTATTTGTGAAGCATGGAAAAGTTGCTGCTTCTAATTTCTAATCCCTGTAAGAATTTGCAAAAATCCAGAGAACATTTTGTGATTCACATACGAAGGAGTGTTCAGGAGGGGGAGGGGAGGATGCAGTGTTAGTCACGAGGCTCCTGGGCTCTAAGGTGAGCATAGCTCCACTAAAGTGTGCTCTTGATTCCGCCCGTATCCTGCAGTTGGATCATTTTATGATAGCTGCATATTTGATTTTGATTTTTACATTGTGACTTTAAAATTGTTCTCTGTATAGAAATTTTATGAAGTTGCTTTTGTAAACCTAATGGTATGGACAAAGGTAGACTAGAAATATTTCATAATTATTTTTCAACAGATCATGCTTGGATTAACAAGTCATGAGGCACATTTTTCTCTCTTAAGAGAAGAAGTTCGGTTTGGTGGAAAAAAAACACAAAGGTAAATGAGATGTTGGAAGAAGGAAGAAGAGAAGCACGGCTGGCAGTCCTCACAGATGGGCTCTGCAGATGTTTCCTCTAACAGTTATCTTTCTCTTTTATTGCCTATGCTTTTCATGTCTGTAGTATTCAAGAAAACACTGTCAAATCTAATGTCAGAAAGTTTACCCCTATGTTTAATTCTTTAAGTTTTGTGGAGGGTTTGTTCTGCTGTTTGGGGCTTTGGTTATTTTTGCAGTGCTGGGCTTGAATCTCAGCTGCTGAGACATGCCCTGCTCTGAGTTACGTAATTTTAGCTTACATAGTTAGATCATTGATCGGTTTGAATTAATATTTGTATATAGTATAAGGTACAAGTCCAACTCCGTTCTTTGTATTTGTTTTTGTATCACTATTTGTTGAGAAAAAACTGTCCTTTCCTTATTGAAGGTCTTGGTTCCTTATTGAAAAACATTTGCTCATGTTTTGGTTCTTGCATTTTCTACTTTATTCTTTGTAGTAATATACTTAGTCTAATATACCTGTCTTCATACCATTTCTGGTGTATTCATGTAGATTTTAATGTGATTAACATTGAAATCAAGAAGAATGAAACCCCAACATATATTCTTTTTTTAAAATCTATTTATTAATTATGCTTAGGTAATATATCTATTTATTAATTATGTATACAGGTTTCTTCCTACATGTTTGCCTGCAGGCCAGAAAAGGGCGCCAGATCTCATTACAGATGGTTGTGCGCCACCATGTGGTTGCTGGGAATTGAACTCAGGACCTTTGGAAGGGCAGGCAGTGCTCTTAACCACTGAGCCATCTCTCCAGCCCTTTATATTCTTTTTTTAATATTATTTTGTACATTTATAGTCTCTAAAGCTTGGTGGTTTTTTGATTTTTTTTAAGGATAGATTTTCCTATTTTTGTGAAAATCATCATTGGGGTTTTGATAGGGGTAGCTTTAAGAAAGATCTAAGAAATGTGTATATCTTTCACAACATCTTGATATTGAGCCTTTTAATCCATGTGTATACATTTTATGTCTCCTTTTAATTTCTTTCAGAAATATTTTGTAGTTTCTCTGATATACTCCTTGGTTAAGTTTATTTCTAACTATTTAACTCTTCTGGATGCCATTTGTATATGGAATCATGTTTTTCAGATTTTTTACTTTATTTTAGGTACATGAGTGTTTTGATTGCATATATGTACATACACCACATGCATGTATGGTGCCCACCAAAGCTAGAGGAGGATGTCAGATCCTGTAACTAGAGTTACAGATGGTTGTGAACCACCATGTGGGTTCTGGGAACTGAACCCAGGTCCTCTTAACTTCTGAGCCTCCTCTTCAGCCCCTGGAATAATTTTCTTTATTTCCTTTTGGTTTGTCCTTTGATGGTGTATAGAAGTACTACCTATCTTGTTCCCTGTAGATGTTTTGTTTATTAGCACTAATGTGTTTTTATGTATTCTGTGGAGTTCTCTGTGTGTAGAATCACACCATCAGAAACAGATAAAATTGTGCTTATCCCTTTCCGATTTTAATTCCATTTCTTTATCTTTCCTGCCTCATTGCCCTGGCTAGGAGTTAAAGAACAGTGTTGAATAGCTATGGTGTGTTGAATAACTGTGGTAAAGTAGGTATCCTTGTCTTATTCCTGGTCTTAGGAATAATGTTTTCACTCTATAATGTAATTATGTGTTTTCAGAAATGACCTTTGTTGTATTAAGGAAATTTACCCATAGCGCTTTCTCTCTTTTTTTAAGAGTATATTTTACATTGTGTTTGTGTGTGTATGTGTGAGAGAGAGACACACAGAGGGAAAGAGAGGAAGAATGAATGTGTGTGCACACACACATGCAGAGCCGTGCCACATGTGGAGGTCAGAGGACAACCTGTAGAAGTAGGCTCTGGAGATCAAACTCAGGTCTTTAGACCTAATGGCAAGTATCTTTGCCCAATGAGCCTCCTGCTAGCCCACTCTCTCTTAATTTCTATAGGCCAAGCTTGCCAAAATTCTATGTACACCAGACTGGCCTCAAACTCATAATCCTTCTGCCTCTGCCTCCTGAGTACTTGCATTTCAGATGTTATCATGGGAGAGTGTTTAATATTGCTAAATGCCTTCTCTGTAAAATGGTCACAGAAAATTTTCCCCTACACTTTGTTCATGTGCTATATGATACTGGTTTCTTATGTTGAACTACCCTTGAATTCTTGCCATAAATCTTGCTTATGTATTATCTATTTAAATATGTTACTGTCCCCTAATATTCTTCTTTATAGCTAAACTTGGAGTATAAGCCAACAGAGTGTCCTATCAATGCAAGAGATAAACTTCATTCCATAAATTTAAAAGTGTATGTCCACACTCACACACACCCTTACTAATTTATATACTTCCTACAATGACTAGTTTCTATATGTATTATGTATTTAGACCTTACGAGTTCTTCTACCAAAAGTATAATGTAAACCAGTCATTTTGAACTTTATCATGTTTCACCCATTATGATGGCATTCTCAGATAATTGTATATAAATTACATGCTTTAAATATAAGAATTATCTCTTAATGATAATTTTTACTTAGTCATTGCTTCCTTTTGAAGTTGGACCACTCTGTTTTGATCACTTGACTAATTGCAGGGTATGTGCACCAGAAGAAACGACATTTCACCTCCTACACTTGTCTTTAATGAGAGAGTATATTGATTATGAATTTTCAGCATTAAAAGTAAGTATTAATATAGCCATGGACTTCAGCTTTTTACATACAGACATTTCTATAGGATTTCAATTTATTCTCCATTTTGTCATAGGAAAAGATCACATTTGAATATGATATTGAAAAAATCATAGATGATTGGATTTTGATGGGATTTCTTGTTGGCAATGATTTTATCCCTCATCTACCTCATTTACATATTAATCATGATGCATTGCCTCTTCTTTATGGAACATACATTGCCATCCTGCCAGAGCTTGGAGGTAAGACCTCACTTTACTCCTAATTTAGTACCAACTCACCCTAAAGATTTCCCTCTCTTTGTTAGATTATTGCCTGCATGACTAAATTAGGATAACATTGTGGGTTTCTTTTAATCAAGTGGCAGGCACCGAGGTTGTTGTTTTCAGTGGTCCCTAAAGAGACTGACTACAGGTTAATAGCCTCACTCACTAAATAACTAAAGTCACCTCCAGTTCCTTAAGAAAACCAGCAAACCTCATTAGTTTCATTTCATTCTGTTTATATTTCGTCATAGAAATCCAGCTGTTCTAAATGTACCTAAAAGTATTCAATAGGAACCACAAATTTTTTTCAGTTAAAATGGAAAATTTGTAAACAATTCCTCTACAGAAAATTATTCCTTACCTTTCTCTCACTTTTTTTTTGAGACAAAGTTTTATTGTGTATCCTCAGATAAGCCTCCAAATCAAAATCCTGCCACAGCCTATATAACCTAAATATGATAGAATACAGGTGTGCACCTCTGCAGCCAGCTACACCTTTTCTTACATTAGCATGTCAAATTGAATGATCCAGCTAAACTGTAACACACATGGTGCTGTTACGGATGTGATCCAGATAGACTGTAATACACGTGGTGCTGTTACAGATGTGATCCAGATAGACTGTAACACACATGGTGCTGTTACAGATGTGATCCAGATAGACTATAACACTGTTATAGTCTGTTATGGTGCTGTTACAGATGTGATCCAGATAGACTGTAACACACGTGGTGCTGTTACAGATAGGTTGGAAATGTGGAAGCGTTGTTACTACATAAACCATAATTTCCAGTATTTTGCTTCATTGCCTAAAATACAGTAATATAAAGGTTATAAGAACTAAAGCTGGTTTTTAGACAACAAAACAGAAGCTTTTCTTCGCTAAAAGGATTAATCAGTAGTGATATTTTATTTGTATTTTAATAAATAAAACTTGCCTCAAGATCAGAGAGTAAAATAGCCCCACTGGTCAGCCTTACAGACCAGGCAGCAGTAACACACACCTTTAATCCCAGTAGCCACATTAGTTAGCCATAGAAGCCGGGCGGTAGTGGTGCACACCTTTAATCCTAGCCCTAGAGAGGAATATAGTACAGGAGGAGACAGCTCTCAGTCTCAGTCTCATTCTGAGATTTCTGGAGACAGGATCACCATTTCAGACTAAGGTAGAGGTAAGAGCCAGTGGCTAGCTGTTTTGCTTTTCTCACCTTCAGGTTGAACCCCAGTTTCTGTCTTTGGGTTTATATTAACCATGCTACATTCAGCAGTTTGTTGAAAGAATTTTATAGTGCTATTAGAAAATAGTATCAGTTTATACTACAAGTTTAGATTTGGTTCATTTTAGGTTACATTAATGAAAGTGGACATCTCAACTTACCTCGATTTGAGAAATACCTTGTGAAACTATCAGATGTAAGTAACAACAGGTTTTTTTTTTCCTATCCTGGGGGAGCTATAAATGGTCATTAATCATTTAGTTAATGCCAGGGGTGAAAAAACTGTAGCTTTGTTCTGATTGTTCATTCTGTATAATTTCATTTGAATTATTTCATTTTAGTTATTTTTAGAGTTAATGATATTGTATGTGTATATATATAAATATTATCCACATTAATGATATTTTATGTGTGTGTGTGTATGTGTAAACATTCTCCTAATTTTCTATACTCCAGAAATTTAGTTTGTATTCTTTCACGTTTAAGTCATTTTAAAATTCAATTATTTTTGGTCAGTTTGATCGAGAGCACTTCAGTGAAGTTTTTGTGGACCTCAAGTGGTTTGAAAGCAAAGTTGGTAACAAGTATCTCAACGAAGCAGCAGGTGCGGCAGCCGAAGAAGCCAGGAACTGTAAGGAAAAGAGAAAATCAAAGGTAGCCAGTTTTTGGTGTTCTTTCTTTTTCTTTTTCTTTTCTCCTTCTTTTGTTTTTTAGCTATAGTGATAAAACTAATATTCCTTGTTTTCAGTGTCCTTGGTTTTCAGGGCTTGTTTGTTCTCATTTTTTCTTCTCCATGAGCATCTAGAATTGTTTTGGTTTCTGTCTCTCTCTATTTCTCTCATATCATAAGTATGTATTTAAGAAAAATTAGTTTCTTATTTTCACTTCTTAGAAATAGCATTTTCCTCTATTGGGAAGCCAGTAAATGGGGCTGGAGCGTTTGCTCAGCAGTCCAGAGCTGGTAGAGGCCAGAATAGTATAAGGAAAAGCTAATGGGAATCACTGCCGGTAGCTAGGCTGTCAGAAACACAAGAGGAAGAGTTAAGATCATAAAACTAAAAACAGGTGGGCAGAGCATGGAAGATGACGTAGGTTAGAAGATGACAAGATTCAGAGATTCAGAAATGCTCAATGGATTCCAGCTTAGACAGACTGCATTAGTAGCAGTTCAAAATTGGTGTCTAACAATGTTAAACTGGTAAATTGAAAAAAATCATTTCATTCTTGTTTATATTGTAATTGATAAATTTTTAAGTAGTCTTGGTCTTTGTAAACAGAGGCAACACTTTTGTTTCCCAGCCATCCATTCCTGAGTCATCACACAGTTTATATTAATTACAAACTGTTTGGCCTATTAGTTCATGCTTGTTATTAACTAGCTCTTAAAACTTTATCTATTTCTATTAATTTATATTTTACCATGAGGCTCCTGGCTTGTTACCTCACATCTTGCTTCCACAGTGACTAATGGTGTCTCCCTGACTCTGCCTTCTTTTCCCCTATATATGTTTGGCTTTTCTGCCTAACTATATTCTGCCTTGCCATAGACCAAAGCAGTTTCTTTATTAACCAATTGTAGTAAAACATTCACAGCATACAGAAAGACATCCCACAGCAGGTCTTGGTGCATATAATCAAATATACTTTTTATATTAGTGAGAATCATGTATTATATGTCAGCTCTATAACAAAAATGTATAATTTTATAAAACAATTGATAACCAAAAAAAAAAAAACCATACAGTTTCAGGGGGTTTTATCTTGTTTTTAAAGTAATATGCTACAGAGTATTCTTTAAAGATCATTTCAGTTGTATTTAGTTTTTTTTTCTAATCTTTTTACATGTCTGACTTGGAAACACATCTTAGCATTCATCTTATGATGATTTATAATTTTTATAGGGCCAGGAAAATTCTTTAAGCTTGGCTGCTTTAGACAAAAGTGAAGGTGAAGTAGTAGCTTCTGAAGGTGAGTACATATGTGTTTGTTATTTCTTCTGAAGGTGAGTATATACTGTGTTTAATGTTATTTCTTTGACACGTAGTTGTTTCTCTTTTCCTTTATTAATACTAACCCAGCAATATTGGATTGGATAAATTCCCATGATAGTTTATAAGTATCAATTTTGATATGCATTGATCACAACATTAGATAAAAAACAATATTCATATTTATCAGTCATATCTTTCTGGTTTTTCTCACAGATAATTTTGAAGATGAGACTGAAGATGATGATCTGTTTGAAACTGAATTTAGACAATATAAGAGAACTTACTATATGACAAAGATGGGAGTCGATGTAGTATCTGAGTATGTTTTTTTCATTATTTTTATTTTGCAATAGAAAAAGTAAATTTTGCAGGTCTTCAGAAAACAACATGATTTTAATGAAATATGGGAGATTTATTAGTGTCTTCAATTATGGATTTCATGATAGTGATTCTGGCATGTGTTCTGTTCCTATGATAAAAATTGCTGCCAAGATGAACTAGGAAGATGACTTAGTGGCTAGTATTTGGCGTACTACCTGAGGACCCAGGTTCTCATTTCTAGCATCTGTGTAAATGCCAAAGCAAGTGTGGCAGTCACCTGAATGTAGAAGCAGGATGTCCCCAGTGCAATCTAGGTAGCTAGACTAGCCAAAGTGGTGACCTCTGGGGTCAACAAAAGGCCCTTCCTCAACATATAAGGTGGAGAACAATTGAGGAAATACCCAGCATCAGTCTCTGATCTCTGCAGACAAGGACACATGTACACAAGCACCTTCACACAAACATATACACCCACACATATGCAAGCATGCACATCACACATGCAGAAAATTACTTAAGATTTAATTAGCAAATAGTAACATCCTTATACATATTAAAAAGATATTTAAAATGCTAAAAAAATTAAAAGTAATCTAAATATCCAATAAATGGACTAAGGATACCCTTCCATGAAAGAGTGACTACCTATATTCTGTGAGACCCCAAGTTTGATTTCCAATATCAGAAAAGATAAAACTAATAAATGTCTAAGATTCAACATGGTAGCAAGTGACTGTAATCCCTTAGGAAATACCCAAGAAGCAGAGGCAGGAAGACTGCCACGAGTCTGAAATTGAAAAATTTAACATAAGTGAGTTCCAAGTTAGTCATGGCTACATTACAAGAATCTGTCTCAGAAATAACCAAATAATTTTTTTTTAAGTCTAATAAGAAGCACCATTATAGAGCCGTGGGTTGTGACACTTGAGTACAGTCAGGAGGCCAAAACAGAAGGTGGAAGTTGATAGCCAGATTTTGTCTTTCATAAAGGAAGACTCTGGCTCATCATCGCTCCTCTCCCCATCTCCAGAATCTGCACAGCTATTCAATGGTGTTTCCAAAGAGTTCCCCACAACTCAGAAAGATGCTTATAACCTAAAGACAGGAAACACAATCACACATGATTATAATACACGCATTCATTGGTACTTTTTTTAATTGGGTAACTTTGGGCTAGTAGTGCATAACCGGAGCTATTTGGAAAGCTGAGCCCAGAAATTCACAGGGCAAGGGCAAGATAGCATGGCCTCGTCTCAGCAGTGACCGAAAAGCAGCAGACGGAAATGACGAGGAATTGCTAGAAGGAGATAAGAATAGTTTTCTCCATTATCCAGATTTTTAACAATCAGAAAATACTTGTCTGAAGTAAGAAAGTATTCTGTATCAGGTTAAAAAACACATCTACCAAGAGAATTAACTCCTGAAAATTGTCTCATGACCTCCACACAAGTATATGCCATACAAATATACACATAACACATATAAATTGATAATAGAACATTTTAAAGATATATACATACCTACCAGAAATAGATAGGAAATTTCTAAGTGATTATTTTTTTACTTTAGGCTATGGCTTGCTTTGTTTTACCCAAATCTAGAGGGATCTTGTTCAGAACATATAGCACTTTTTTTTTTTTTTTAGTTTTTTGAGACAGGGTTTCTCTGTAGCTTTGGAACCTGTCCTGGCACTAGCTCTTGTAGACCAGGCTGGCCTCGAACTTTAGGAGAGTGATAATACCACTTTGTAGAAAGGTCAGTAGGTGAGTCTTCAAACATTAGGCAAAACTATGTCATAATGACAACTTAAGCATGCATATCCGATTTAACTGTATTGATAGTTGGCTTAGGAAACTGTAAACAGCCTTTCATGTGACTGTATTCTGTATGGAATTACAAGATGGAATTGTAAATATTTTGTAGTTTTTCTGTTTATAATGTTTAGGTACTAAAAATACACTGAATATATTGGTCTCTCTTCAGAAAACAACATTGTTATGAAAATGCCCCTTTCTGTTTCAGTGAGTTCCTGGCTGATCAAGCTGCTTGTTATGTTCAGGCTATCCAGTGGATCTTACACTATTACTATCATGGAGTCCAATCCTGGAGCTGGTAAAGGCATCTCATTTTATAATGGTTCCTACTATTAGAGTCTCATTTACACATCTCTTTTCCTTTTATTTCTACTTAAAAGAATTTTTCATATATGTCTACAGTCAATTTTAAATATAATCTGTTTTTAAATGAAAATATTTTAAAGACTTTCAACCAAGAGAAATATTTATAGCCCTAGCCTTTGTTAATCTAAAGTTGTAAAATACTTTAGCAGTCTGAGTCAGCATGGGTTTGGGGTGTAGCTTAATAAATCACTTGGATCAGACTCTAGTTGTCCAGTAGGAGAGAATCGTGGATAGAGTTCCATCATAGAGCCCCCATCTAGCATGGATGAAGCCTGAGGTTGATTCCTAGTGCCACCAGGAAAGTAAAAATAAGAGAACCCCTTCTCATGGCACGATCTTAACAAGTGTTTGCGTTCCAGTGATAGTTACGTGAGGGTGTTTGTAAGAGTCTCCACATTTTTGTGTACTCAAAAACAATACTCTTTAACAAGAATAATTTCTGAAGAGTCAACTAATATTTGTGACTGAAAGAAAGGTTTTGCTTGTGTTAATAAAAAGTAATATTCACCATTTCTCCTCTATATTGGTCAGCTCTTCTCACTGACAAAAATTCCTGACAGAACAACTTAAAAGAAGAAAGATCATGTGACTCGTGGTTTCAGGCTTCAGTTTCTGCTCAGCCAGCTCCAATCTCTTTAGGCTATGGGGAAAGAAAGTGTCATGGCAGGGTGGACATGGAGAGCAAAGTTGATATTTCATTGTAACTAGAAAGTAGAGAGAAAGACATGTCCCGGTGGCCCAAATCCAATAGTCCCATCTCCTAAAGTTTCTAGAACCTCCCAAATAGCCCAGCAGGTGGGAACCAGGCTTCTGTACGTGAGTAGTAGGGCTGATCTGATCCTAGCCAATTACATCTACTCATTCACTAAAATGGGGAATAACATCCAGAGTGGCAGCTTGTGTCTGACCCCAGGCTGGAGGATCACCACAAGTTCAAGGTCAACTGTTAAACGCAGCAAGATCTTGCCTCAAAAAGAAAGAGGAAGGATAAACCCTCCAACTATAAGGCACCCTATAGTAGAGACTGCTGTGAGCATAATCAGGAAGCTCACAACAGTGCAGAATGATGTGGCATTAGGTGTTTGTTCACTTATTAGCCAGCTTTGAAAGGAAATTCTTCTTCTTTTTTTTTTTTTTTTTTTTTTTTTTTTTTTTTTTTTTTTTTTTTNTGTAGCTTTGGAGCCTGTCCTGGAACTAGCTCTGTAGACCAGGCTGGTCTCGAACTCACAGAGATCCACCTGCCTCTGCCTCCCGAGTGCTGGGATTAAAGGCGTGCGCCACCATCGCCCGGCTGAAAGGAAATTCTTACGTTCTCAGGCCTCTCTTAAGAACAAGCGAAGTTTAAAGATATGATCCTTATTTGTTATTTTAGAAGGCTAAATGCCAGTAATTGCTGTTTAATTGCCAAGCAGTAAAATTAGGGACTTCAAAACCATATTTTCATATACTTGAAGTAAACATCATTTTCTACTTGCCACAGATGAAATTAAAGCTCAGAAAACCAAAGTAATCATCCCAAAAAGCCAAGCCATGCCTATCTGTTTAGAACATCAGTGTATTTACACTATTTCACATACCATTCTGACTTCTAAACTTTCCTATCTAGAACAGCTGAATGCCATAATTAGGAATGTGGAAGTCTCTCAGGCAAGCAAGTTGGCTAAGCAGGTAAAGGAACTTGCCACCAAGCCTGACAACCTGAGTTCAGTCACTGGGGCCCACATGATAGAGAGAGCTTACTCCCACAAATCTCTGACCTCCACACACCTGTACAGCCCCATAAACAAACTAAATAAAATTTTTAAAAAATTTAGTCTTTCCTTTTCCTTTCTTGCTCTATATCCTGAGTGTCTGCCTCCCTGTGTCCAGTGATTCAGACACCTGTAGCATATTGAAATATTTTTAATTTTATGTTCAAAGGCTTATTAGAACATGTCTATAACTAAAGATAGGAATATTATAAACAAAATGTATGTGATTGATTTATAGCTTAATCTCTACCACAGATGCAGTGCCATGTACCCTGATTCAAAGATAACCTTTCTTAGAGTTGACTGACATGGCTGTATAAGTACACGCCCACTATCCTTCTTAGGGGCTGATTAGAGCTTTGGTGTCAATATCTACTGAATACTGAGTGCCCCGCCCGTTGCGGAGAGGTCCCAGGTTCAAGTGACTAGAATGACGCTTCTGACCACCTCATTGTTCAGTGTATTGATTGAAGGATTTGTGATCTCTACTTGAGACTTAAAAAGAAACAGTCCCAATGCACACTTTAAGAAAGTTGTGAGTTTGAAGCCAGTCCTGCCTTCCTAGGTACCCTGTCTCTTAAGTTCCCACTTATCAAAATATATTTATGAAAATATTTTATTTATTGTTATCATGTGAGCTAAGCTTTATAGAGGTGCTAATTTCTTATACTCAAGAGATAGAATTATGTATGATACATTTTTAATTATACCTGTGTATTTTTAAATAAATGTAGGAAAATGTTCAATATTGGCCATTTTGTATAATGTTTTCAGTTTAAAACACATTTTCTCTCATAGGTATTATCCCTATCATTATGCACCCTTCCTGTCTGATATCCGCAACATCAGCGCTCTTAAAATCCATTTTGAACTGGGGAAACCCTTCAAGCCATTCGAGCAGCTTCTTGCCGTCCTCCCATCAGCTAGCAAAAATTTGCTTCCTACCTGCTACCAGGTAGGTTTTGGAATTGAATGAGTTTTCTTAATATTCTTTTTTAAGGATTTATTTTTATATGTATGTACATTTTGCCTACATAAATGTATGTCTATGTACCTCATCATTCTTGGTGCCCACAGAAGACAGATAAGGGCATTGAATAAGGGAACTGGAGTTATGTATGGTTGTAAGCTTCCATATAGGTGCTGGAAAGACAAGGATTTTAACCATTAAACTACCTCTCCAACACCTTATATAATTTTTTTGTATTTAATTCTTCATATAAACCTGAAAATACTGCTGCCCAAAATAATTTAAGAAATGAATTTTTATTTATCTTAGACAATACTTATTTTGAGTTTTTTGTTTTTGTTTTGCTTTTTTTTAAGACAGGGTGTTGTAAAGGACAGGGCCCCTTGTTTGTCCCGGCCACAAACCGGGACAAACTTATACCCAAAATAACCACACAGAAACTGTATTAATTAAAACACTGCTTGACCATTAGCTCTAACTTCTTTTTGGCTAATTCTTACATATTAGTTTAACCCATCTCCATTAATCTGTGTATCGCCACATAGCAGTGGCTTACCAGAGATTCTAACTGGCATCCATGTCTAGTGGAGGATTCATGGCTTCTCTCTCTCTGCCCTTCTTCCTCCCAGCATTCAGTTCTATTTTTTTCTGCCTACCTAAGTTCGCCCTATCAACTAGACCATGGCAGTTTCTTTATTCATTAACCAATGAAAGCAACACTTAAACAGAAGAACCTCCTACACCAACAGGGCTTCTCTGTGTAACAGTTCTAGTTGTCCCTGGAACTTGCTTTGTAGACCAGGCTGGCCTCAAACTCACTGAGATCCGCCTCCCGAGTGCTAGGATTAAAGGCATGCACCACCACCCCCCAGTGAATAAGGGCGGTTCTAGTGACTTGTCTTACACCAGTGTCACCTCAGGATAAAGTGAGAGCTTTAAGCATTCCAGCTATCAAATTGAAGGACCTTTCTCTTACTAATATATTTCACATAATTAAAGAAAGACAGGGTCTCTGAAGCACACTAAACATACTAAGCATATTATAAAAGTTATTTGGTTTTTGTAGGGTCTGTGTCCGAACTTCTCATTCCATGTCTGGTCTTCTCACAATTTGGAGTAGATGTACATACATAACCCATTGCTCTTAACATTGTCATGGTCCCTCTTGCCTCTTCCAGAGCCCTAACCTATACTCAACCCTGGTTTCAGCCTCTGTTTCTTAAATATCTTTAATGTTTTTTGTTTGTTTTTTTTTCCTTCAGTTACATTAAACTTTTGGTAGCATACCACTGTTAGCCAATAAGTATGTTATGATCACATTTGTTGTGTTTGTTTAGTGTTCATGCAATAGCAATTAAATTTTATATTATCATTTTAGGAATATGTTACTTCATTTTTTAAATTTATAATCTTCCCTTTCACTTCCCAATCCTTTTTTGCATAAGACATCGGTATGTTTTCTTTGTTTACTTCTTTTATAGAATATAATAAAAATGTTTGCTATCAGACTCTGTTATTAATGATATTGTGGGTCTGTTATTAATGGTATTGTGGGTCTTAGATTTTACTTTTTTCTTTTTAGATTATCTTTGATGCTAGTAATCATATTACTAGAATCCACTGATTAGGGCATGGAAATAAATAGTTTATTTGAGATTGAAATGGAAAACTCTTGGAAAAATGTGAAAAGAACTGAACTAAACTTAAACTTGTAAGTAAAGGAACAGAATTTAGGTGACGTTATAGAGTGAAAAGACAATAGAAAAATAAAACTGTGGCTGACAGGAAGCTCAGCAAATACAGGTACTTGCTGCTATGCCTGTTGACTTCCATCCCCAGTATCCACACTGTGCAAGGAGAGAATGGACTCCCATGGGTTGTCCTCTGACCTCCATACACACCATGATGCATGTGCACACACACAACACAATAAATGTAATACAAGTTTCTAAGTAAAGATGGCAGAATTAAAACTAATAGTAGCAGGAATGTGGTGGTGTGCACCTATAATCCCAGCATTCTTGAGACTGAGGCTGGAGACTCTTGAGTTCAAGGCAACCTGGATTACTTAAATTCTGTCTCAAGACAGGAATTAAGAGAGAAAGAGAAGTCATTCATAATAAAAGTAGTTTTGCTCCGTAACTAAGTTAAAGAAGCAGAAAAGAAATGAGTATCAAATACAATTGAAATTTTTACAGTTTGCTGGACAAGCTGACACAGGCTTGTAATTCCAACACTGGGGAATCTGCAACCAGGTGGGTCTTAATTTCAAGACCAGGGAGATGCTGTCTCAGAAAAAAGGAAAATTAAAAGGATTCATTTAGTTGGAAGCAATAATGTACCACATACATTGTTGCAACCTAATAAGGTAAGGAAATGTTCTATATGTTAATGAATTGTTGTAATGATAGTGTCTCTTTTATCTATTTTCCTATTTACATTTTCACAGCATTTGATGACCAGCGAAGACTCACCAATTATAGAATATTACCCACCGGATTTTAAAACTGATCTAAATGGGAAACAACAAGAATGGGAAGCTGTGGTATTAATACCCTTTATTGATGAGGTCAGTATATGAAATTAGTACATATAAACACAGTCTTTTAATGTGTGTATGTGTGTGTACAAGCCAAAGATAATCTTAGGTGTCATTCTTCAGACATCATCCCCTGGTCTAGCAGGGGACCTGCTTGTTTCCATCTACCCAGCACGTAGACCCCAAGTGTGTCTACACCACCATGTCCAGCTTTTTACATGGGCAAGCTAGAAACCAAACCAGGTCTTGATGTTTTTTAGCTAATCACTTTACCAACTGAGCTATTTTCCCAGCCCCTATTATTTTTTGTTTTAATGTTTGTCGTCCTAATCGGGGTGAGATAGACTCAAAGTTCATTTAATTGTATTTCCCTGTTGGCTAAGAATGTTGAGAATTTTTTCATATATTAGCTATATTATTTTTATTTGTATCTGTTCTTTTGAGAATTGTCTGGTTAGTCCATTTGTCTACTTATTCATTAATTGTTTTTTCTACTTAATTTTTGTGGGTCACTTAATTTCTAGATATCAATCCCCTATCAGATGTATAGTGAGCAAGGACTTTGTCCCACTTTATAGGTTGTCTCTTAACGTTGCAAATGGTTTTCTTTACTGTTATAAACTTGACTTGACTCAGTCTCCTTGAATTCTTGGGCTTATAGCCTGTGTCCTTAGGGTACTTCCAGAAAATCCTTGCCACCTACTGTGTGGGATATGCCTTATTCTTTGGTTTCTAAAGGCTCAAGGTTTATTGTTTGATTATTTATTTGAGATCACTGACTTTCATAGTTGTCCATTCTCATCTTAGGACTCCCTTAGCTGTACGAGAATGCTGTGCCTTCATTTTCATTTGATTCTAGAACCTTAAATTTCCCCCATGATTTCTTCAGTCACCCATTTCATGCCAGCTTTTATCATTCAGTTTCCATGTAGTTTCTCTTTGCTGTTAGTGTCTAGTATTCCACTATGATCTGATAAGATACAAGGAATTATTCCAGTTCATGTTGCTTTTTAAGACAGTCTCATAGTCCAGGCTGAGAATGACTTTGAACTCCTGGTCCTTCCAAGTGCTGGATTACTGGGTATCCTACATGTATACCTTGATTCTTTTGTATTTGTGAAGGCTTGATTTGTGGCCAAGAATGTGGTGGGTTTTAGAGAGGGTTCTATGGACTACTGAGAATGTGTATTTGGTATCTCTTGTAGATAGATACCTCATAAGTCCATTTGATCTATGATTCTCTGAAGATTCTGTTCATTTTTGTGTGGATGAGAGTGAAGTACTAAAGTCATCATTATTATTCTATCAAGAGTTGTGAGACCTTTTATGCCTACTGCTGTCTTATTTCATGAAAGAGAGCTGCAACATTTAGTGCATGTATCTCAATTATTATGTCATCCTGATTAATTTTTCTGTAATATATAATGGCCTTCTCACCTTGTCTGACCAATTTTGATTTGAAGTCTACCCTTTCAGATATGAGGTTATCTACAAAGCTTCTTTTCCTTCTATTCACTTGATAGACTAATTTGAAATCCCTGGAATCTCAATCTGTGAGGTATTTCTTAGCAACAACAAACAGTTGAATCCTGTTTTTCAGTCCAGTCAGCTATAGTCTGCATCTTTTTCTTCCTTCCCTACCCTTCCCTTCCCTTCCCTTCCCTTCCCTTCCCTTCCCTGCCCTGCCCTGCCCTTCCCTGCCCTGCCCTGCCCTGCCCTGCCCTGCCCTGCCCTTCCCTGCCCTGCCCTGCCCTGCCCTGCCCTGCCCTGCCCTGCCCCTTCCTTCCTTCCTTCCTTCCTTCCTTCCTTCCTTCCTTCCTTCCTTCCTTCCTTCCTTCCCTTCCTCCTCTCTCTCTCTCTTTCTGTCTTTCTTTCTCTCTTCCTCTCTTTCTCTTGTTGTTGAGTCAAGGCCATTTACATAGAAGGTTATTACTGTTGGATCAGGTTTTTGGGTGGGAGGGTGAGGGTTGTTTGTTTATTGAGACAGGGTTTCTCTGTGTAGCCCTGGCCATCCTGGAACTCACTCAGTAGACCATACTGGCCTCTCAGAGATCTGCCTGCCTCTGCCTTCCAAGTGCTGGGATTAGAGGAGTACACCACTTGACTAGGTTTTGAGTTTTTTTGTTTGTTATGTTTTGTTTTGTTTTGTTTCTTTCTTTCTCCTGTATTAGTGTTAGAGGTTTTCTGGTTTTCTATATTACATCATAGATTCTTTCCTACTTTTCTTTTTTGTTTTTTTGGGTTTAGATTTTTTTATTTGTTTGTTTTTTGTTGTTGCTTTGTTTGCAGGGAGGGGGGATGTCTCAATTTCAAGATGGGGTATCTCTGTGTGTAGCCCTGGCTGTCCTGAAACTCACTCTGTAGAATAGGCTAGCTTTGAACTCACAAAGTTCTGCCTGCCTCTGCCTCCCAAGTGCTGGAATTAAAGTCGTGCGCCACTACCACCTGGCTCTTTACCTACTTTTCTTTCATCTGACCTCCACACATGTGCTATGGCATCTACGCATTCACATACATATGTACATACATATTTACACACTAAATACTTTAATTTTCATAAACAAAAATTGGGACTGGAGAGATGGCTTAGCAGTAAAGAGCATCTCTTCCAAGAGACCTAGGTTCGGTTCTAGCACCCACATGGCTGCTCACAACCATCTGTTACTCCAGTTTCAAGGGATCCGACACCTTCCTCTGGCCTCTGCAGGCAACAGACATAAACTTACATGCAAGCAGAACACTTATACACATAAAATAAGTAAGTTAAGCCTAGTAAAATAAAAACATTTATACAGTGGAGAGCGATAGAGGAAGACTCAATGTTCCCTTCTCACACAGGCAAGCATACCTGCGTGTGTGCACATCAGTCAGTAATTAATCCGTGAATGAGTAAAAATTGAATGCCTCTTATGTTTAGGTGTTCATGTCTTCTCTACAGTTGAGAATACTCTGATATAATGTCATTGAATAGCTAGCCTATACTTTCAGTTTTTGTTTTTTTATCCCATGGATTCTTCGTTTTGGTACTTTGGTCTCCTGATTGCAGCTCATGCCCAGCTGGGTGAACTTCTTTTCAGTACATAACCTGTCTCTCAAGTTCTCCTGTCTGTCTGTCTTTGGATTCGAGTCTACTTCTTACGCTAAATCTTTTCCTATACACAGACAGCTTCTAGATTGCCTTCTTACTCCATAGTTTCTTCTCTCAGGACCTTTTTTGTTGTTTTGTTTTGTGTTTTATGTTGTAAGTCAGGGTGGTGAAGAACTTGCTATGTGCCTGAGAATGGCACTGAACTCTTTGTTTTGCTTTAATTTTATTGTCACTGTGTGTGCACACATGTTCCACAGGTAGAGGTCAGAGGACAACCTGTGAAAGTTGATTATTTCCAAAGGATTGAACTCAGGTCATCAGACAGCAACAAGGGCCCTTACCTACTGGGCTACCCCATCAGCTCATGATGTTATTTTTAAGAGCCTAGTAGTGTACAAAGGGGAAATACTTTTCTGTATGTTGAGATTACGGTGTTTGTTTTAATCATTTATTATTATTTACATCAGAAACGATTGTTGGAAGCCATGGAGACATGTAATCACTCCCTCAAAAAGGAAGAAAGGAAAAGAAACCAACACAGTGAATGTCTAATGTGCTGGTATGATAGAGACACAGAGTTCACCTACTCCTCTCCATGGCCAGAAAAGTTCCCTGCCATAGAACGGTGTTGTGCGAGGTAATGCTACTTGGTAATTTATGAATTCTTCTTATAGATGTTCAAGTCTTTGTGTGTCATATTTGTGACAATTACTTGATATCCAATAAGTTAGGAATAGTGGTTCAAGCCTAGAGTCCAGCTGCTTAGGGGGTTGAAGCAGAAGAATCTTGTTTGAGCCCAGGAATTTAAGATCAACAACATAATGATTCCCGGTCTCAAAATGAAATTAATAATTATTGAGCAACAGCCAGCTGCTCAGCATCAAAGCGTCTCTCTCCCTGGACCATGTCGCTCTCTCCTTGGAGCAGACGCTAATTCCTTCTACTACAGCTTTGTGGGTTTTTCTGTCTAGTATATCTCTCACTTTATCTCTAAACAGTTTCTGTATTAAATTTTTGTGATTTTTTGTTTTCATTGTTCATGTCTCTATTGCCAGCAATATTTGATAAACATAACTTAACCTTACAGTCATCAACTACCGAGCCAGAGATTTAAAAAAAAGTTGAGAACCCCATTTTCCTTTCTTAAATCTGTTTTTGTCATTCTCTTCCCATCTTTATTTTTTCTCTTTTCTTGCCTTCTTAAAAACCATGTATATAAATGACCGTTGAGCGAATGGTATTTTTTTCAAGTACAAAGAACAATAAAATAGACTATGAAATGTTATTCCTTTAGAACATGAAATATAGATTTACATTTCCCTTTGTGTTTATGTATAAGGGTTTTTTAGTTTTTTGTTTGTTTGGTTTGGTTTGGTTTTGGTTGTTTTTGAGATAGGTTCTTGACTGGACCTGGAACTCACCAATCTGGCTAGACTGACTGGCCAGCAAGTGCAGGGGTCCTCCTGTCTCTGCCTTCCCCAGCACTGGGATTACAGAGGCATGCTGCCACGCCCTCCTTTTTAAGAAAATGCTAGGATCATCCTCAGATCCTTAAATTGGAAAGCAAGCAAGTTACTCCCTGAGCCATCTCCTTACTCCTCGATTGTTTGTTTGTTTAGAGACAGGATTTCTCTGTGGAGTCCTGGCTGTCCTGGAACTCACTTTATAGACCAGGCTGGCCTCAAACTCACAAAGATCCACCTGCCTCTGACTCCAGAGTAATGGGATTAAAGGTGTACATCACTACCAACAGGCCCCTCGATTTAAATAAATAAATAAATTATATGTAGCTTGTTTAAAAATAGTGGGATTAAAAACCTTTACTTAGTAATCTACAGACCTAATTGTACCTAGACTAGTAGCAGTAGAGAGGCTGGATTGCTCTTAGTTTTCTGATTTTGTTTGCTTTATTTTAGGGTTTTGTTGTTTGTTATATTTTAGAATTTTTGTTTTATTTTACATTTTGTACATTTCTTTGTGTGTGTGTTTGTGTGTGGGAGAGGGGGGGGGGAGGACACAAGTATGCTATGAGTATATGGAGATCAGAGGACTTTTAGGAGTCAGTTCTTTCTTTTTATCATGCGGGCCCTAGGGATTAAACACAAGGTATCAGTCAAGCTTGGCAGCAAGTGCCTTTACCTACATCATTGGCCCCTGAGTTGGTTTTTGTTGTTTTGTTTGTTTGTTTGTTTGTTGAGGGCAGAAAGGCCTTGTGTTGGGAAATATTAATTGAAGATTTGTTACATTTGTTTATGCTGTGAAATATTTGTTAAATGATGCAAAAATGTATTGTATTCTTTTATGTTGCATTTGTTTAACTCTGTAAAGCTGTGTTACTTTGCCTGTCTAAAACACCTGATTGATCCAATAAAGAGCTGAATGGCCAGTGGCTAGGCAGGAGGAAGGGATAAGTGGGACTGCCAGACAGAGAACAAACAGGAGAGAAAAGAGAAGAGGGAGGAACAAGAAAGGGAGAAGGAGAAGAGGACACCAGGGGCCACCCAGCCAGCCACAAGTAAGGAGAAAAGAAAAAGATATTCAATAAAGAAAGGTAAAAGTCCAGAGGCAAAATATAGCTAAATAGAAACAGGGTAATTTAAGAAAAACTTAGAAATAATACAAGCTAAGGCCAGGCACTCATAAAAAGGAATAAGCCTCTGTGTGATTTATTTGGGAGCTGGGTGGCAAGCCCCCCCAAATAGCCAAAGAGTAATAAAAACCAACTACAGCCTTGTGCACACAGATAGGCACTGGAGAAGCCAGGAAAGTTAAACACACAGCTTACCTCCGCAGTGGAATGAGGTGCGCAACTGCTCTTCCTGGAACGCTAGGAATGATGCGGTTTTACAGCCTGGTGATCCTTTGCTGTCTGCTGAGACAGGCTCTGCCCATATCTCCCAGAATTCATGTTTTTACTTATTAAAGACCTTTTTCCCAAAACTTGAGCATTGCTTTTAGATCATAAACCCATTCTTTTTTTTATTTTTTTTTGATTTTCTTTTTTTATTTTTTGAAAATATTACCGCCTCCTCCCCGTTTCCCATTTCCCTCCCCCTCCTCCCACACATCACCCCCTCCCCCCACTC